CCCCCCCCCCCCCTCCCCTCCCCAATTATACTTTTTCTACCCATGCTTTCCTTTTGATCAACAGCATCATAGGAGGAATAGGATTTGGTTTTTCATTCCAAGTTGCATTTGCCTTGGCTGATGTGATCTATGTCCCTTCTGTAGTAATATTCCATGTCCATGGAGACACAGGGGGATATATAATGGTAGTATGTGGACTCAATCACACACTGCCCTAAAGCAGTGACTGGACAGATGCCTTGGTAGAAAAACATGTTTGGAATATGACATGGCTCACTCATACAGGCCAAAGCTGCCCTTTGTGAAAATGGAAGTGAAAAACCTCTAGAATAAACTACATTTATCAGTAATGATGTCACCACAGGAATATCTTGTAAGCCTTCAATGTGATTTTTTTTCTAGGCTGACATTCACTTAGGAACTACCAGAAGCAGTACATGGTAGAAGAGACAGACCATGTAGAAATAAGACTTCTAAATATGCTGGCTGTAGTAACAGACATCTCACCTTTCAGTCAAAAGAGTCAATCATTTTCTTAATAGCAGTTGTCTATTTTGGACATAATGGACATTTATTATGTATATGACATTGTTGTCAGATTCAGTGAATCAGTGCATTTGTTTATACAGTTTATGTCATCACATTGTCCCTGATATCCCACCATGCAAGATGGCAGCAGAACTGATTTTGGTGACTAATATGTTACAAGGTTATTATTACCTAAAACCATAGAAAATAGATACTTTTTTTAAACAAATATCAATATTATTGATATTAAAATAACATGCTAGCAAGTGGAAATACATGTATGATCAGGGTGAATTTGGAGAATATAGCTGGCATTTTCTTTCTTTTTTTACCTGTAGAAGTTTTCTCATCAATCTGGTTTTAGAGTGAGATTGAAAGCTCTAAAATAATTAGTGATGCTTCACAGCTCTTTCCCAAGAAGGCTTATTCCTGGCTCTTTACAAATCCTGCATCATTATTAGTGTCTGTAGAAAAGCCATTGTTCTAAACTAGATCATTGATGTGTGCAAAAGCAACTCAAGAGGAAATGTATATCTCACTGGCTTATTGCACGTATAAAACTCAGTTCATAACTTTATTAAAAGTCAAGCTCAGCTGAAACTCCTCACAGCCCACAGATTACACATTTTAATTCATAATGCAGTCTTTAACCTTGGGGGGAGGCAGTCTCTGACATCTCAGAAGACCCATTAGATTAGATCATCTTTCAATGCTAAATTTATTCTCTGTTGCTGAAAACCTTGAGAAATACACTTAATGGCGTGATAGTCTGATCTTACTTTTTGCCTCTAACCACTGTTCTCCGCAGATTCACGATTAGTTTAAACTGTGTTTTAGTTGTAGCGTTCCCAAGTTATCGGCTCAATGCTCTGGTGTGCAATAATTAAGACACGAGAGCTATTTTTGTGAAGTTTATACTGATTTGCAGGGAAACATAACACTAAGCCTTTTTTCCAATCTAATAAAATCTGTCTGTTGTAGCCTATTTTTCTCTCTTTGATCACAAAAAGGAATTAATGGAATGATTTGAATAGATATTTGAATGTGAAATTGAATGCACAATTCATGTTCCAGCAACTGTCTTTTCAAAAATTAGACATAATTGGTGGTACAGTATATCCTCCTGAGAACCAGAAATAAAAAGCTTTGTGAATTTA